GGGTAAAACTTTTAAAATTTAAATTCTTATTTTGCGAAACAAAGTCGTTTAAAATTGGTCTACTTTTTGGACAATTTCTTTGACTATTTTAAGATTTGTATTGTGTAAGAAAATTTTACGGAATTTTTTGATCATTACCTATATTTGATTGTGGATTGTGGATGTAACATTTAGGTATATACCCAGATAACACAAACACTTTCTATAAACATTCTATAAATATTTGTCGAGAATATTAAAATATTTTTTCGATGTACTAGAAGATGTTTTATAAATGTAATACTCGTACTCGTGTGAATGCATCATAAGCCTTCGGCTCATGCGGCAACTTCACGCGCAATGTAATTCGTTATTTTCCGCACTTGCCACATAGGATACTATTTTCAGTGTGCATGACAAAATTATCTGGCAAACAAGGTGCCAATTTAGGAGACTGATCTTGTTGATTATTTATCATCGACGAAATAACGGACTTTTTACATGTTACAGGCATGATCAAGGAAGTGCGAATTCAAGGATTTGCGACGACGGCATCTCTGTTGCGGGCTTTCGAGAAAATGATCCTCTGAGCAAGGGGATAGAGGGATGGCATGGTCACCCCAATGGGAAAACCGGACGGCAGTGCGAGTTTTTACAGAGGATTGAAACAGCGAAAGAGTGGACGAAAGAGAGCAGAAATCGAGACGATATTACAACTTGCGGGGAACAGAATTATATATGAGTGCAAACTGTCCAACGAGGGTGAGCGGCGTAAAATGTTTTTGCTGCGGCGAACGCGGACACGTAGCGGACAGATAACTGTAGAAATGCGTTAGAGATATGATCCGAAATTATACGCCAACTATAAAATACGCGATGTAGAAGTTAAAATGAAATTGATTCTTAAAGATGACAAGCCCGTATACCAAAGAGCGCGAAAATGTTCCTAACAAGAAAAACAAATAATAAAGAGACAGATAGGTGAGTGGCTGAATGACGATATTGTACGGCCGTCGTTGTCGGAACATAAAAAAAATACCTTTTTTAAAAAAAAGGTAAAAAAAGGGCGCCAAGGTTACGCGTGTGTTAAAGTGTTTTATAAAAAAAATAAAACTTTTATGTTGTAAAATTAATTTTATAAAAAATATAAAACTTTTATGTTGTAAAATTAATTTTATAAAAAATATAAAACTTTTATGTTGTAAAATTAATTTTATAAAAAATATAAAACTTTTATGTTGTAAAATTAATTTTATAAAAAATATAAAACTTTTATGTTGTAAAATTAATTTATAAAAAATATAAAACTTTTTTTTTTTTTTTTTTTTTTTAAATTTTTTAAAATATTTATTTCTGAGTTTATTCACGCCTTGGGCTAATCACGGCGGTATTTACTAACATCTACTAAAAAGGCAAATGAAAAATATAGGATCGAAAGGGTCTGAATAGCTTAGTTGGTAAGAGCAGTCGCCCGGAAAGTGAAAGACGCGGGTTCGATTCCCGCTTCAGCGACTTTTCGGATCTATATTTTTCTCGCTTATTTCTCCATATGTAAGTTTCGAAATTAATTTATATGTGGAACTTTGGGATCTCAAATTGAGATACAGTTCCGTTTAATTAATTTTTCGTTTCGTTTCCTTGGCTCTATTGCCCAGCTTAGAAGACAGCATACTTATATTATTTATATTGAGAGCCGATAAAAATATTTATTTCTGAATAAAACTTTTATGTTATAAAATTAATTTTATAAAAAATATAAAACTTTTATGTTGTAAAATTAATATTTCTAAAAAAAAAAAATGATATCTAAAAGTTGCGCCAAATAAATAAATATTTATAAAAAAAATTGAAAATTAGAAACTTATGCAAAAATTAAAAAATTAATAAAAAATTTAAAAAATTAAAAAATTTTAAAATAATAACTGTGAGACGACCCAACTGGCTTAAATTTATTATTATTATTAATTCGATGTCATATACAATAAAAGACAACGTTTCGAGTAAGTTTAGGTCCTTATCAAGTCTTACAAATTCTTTAATACAATATATAATTGAGTTTTTACATTATACACATTTCTATATAAGTACTGTGTCAAGTAAAACGTTCCGTATGGATGGTAAAGACGAACGTAAAAAATTTTAGTTAAAAAAACTTGGCGCTGCTAAATTTAAAAATTACTGCAATGAATCTTATCTATAATATATCTTAAAGTAACAAATAATTAATTTATGGCAATATATCTTAACGTAACAAATAAACTACTAAACAATTTATTTAATTTAACTTTTGGCACGCCTCTCACCGATCATTGCGGATATCACGTTGCAAGATTTGGAGAGTAGAGCGATTGCTGCGATTCCATTGTCATTTCCATTTTATTTTAGATATGTTGACGATATCGCGTTGGCGGCCCCACCCTCCATGCTTAAAATAGTTTTAAACACTTTCAATTCTTTCCATCCTAGATTGCAGTTCACCATGGAGGAGGGGGTTGACAACCGATTGAATTTTTTAGATGTCACCATTATTATAAATAATGGGAGCATTGAGTTTGATTTGTTTCATAAGCCGACGTATTCAGGTAGATATTTAAATTTTGAATCGCAGCATCCTCTCTGTCATAAAAAAGGCACCATTATCAGCCTCATAGATAGAGTTTTTTGGCTATCTCATCCGAAATTCCATAAAGTTAACTTTGAGTCTATGATTGGAGTTCTTTTGTCTAATAATTATCCTCTCAATTTGATATTTCATACATTACAAGCGCGGTTAAAAAAGTTGTTCTTCCGCTATAATAATAAGTTGCATAACAATAGAGCAAATGTATGCAATGACAAGATTCTAACGCAGAAAAAAGTTTCGTACTTTAATATTCCGTATATTAATAATGTATCAAAGAAAATCGAGGACATTACACGTGATTTGGATGTCATTCCATCATATACAGCAATTAACAGTCTCCGTAAATTCATTAAAGTACACAAGGATAAGTTACCAAGAGAACTCCATAATAATGTAGTTTATAAAATTGATTGTATGGATTGTGATGCGTCGTACGTAGGGCAGACGGGTAGATTGTTGAAAACTAGGATGAAAGAACATCGCAACAACATAAAAAGAAACGCGTCACAATTATCAGTCATATCGGAACATAGATTATTGAACCATGAATTTAATTGGGAGGATGTAAAAGTCTTAGACGAGGAGCCTTTTTTAGGTAAACGTTTGATATCCGAAATGATCCACATAAAACGTCAGAGGAATAGTTTAAATTTACATAGCGACACTGATAAATTAAACGAGAATCTTGATCTGTTAATAGAAAAATTTACCAAAATTTAGCTTTGTGATTTTACATAGCCGGGTTTTTTTGTTAGACTTTTGACATGAGTGCCGATTAGTTTAGTTGTTTTTATTTTTATTTTTATTTTCATATTTTATTTTTATATTTGTTTTTTGCGTATATATGTATCGACTGTGTCGAGGTAGAATACCGCACAGTCGTTAGAGTGATGTGTCACGTGTAGCATCGTCTTCTCTCTGTTTTTGCTGTCGGGGTGAGTGTTCTTCCCGGTTCTTAATTTTTAATTCTTGTGAATTGTTCTACGTTTAATTTATACCATGTTGATTAGTGTTGGTAAGGGAGTCACTGCTCCGCTTCCTTCCTGACGATGGTCACCGTTAGGGAGACACTCCGACGGCCGGACGGTTTGAATAGGGAGGAGAATGATATTTAATTTATTTGCGGATTGTATGTATACGAGTTTTATAATTTTTTGATTGTACCGATTATCTTCTATTTTTGTTTCTTTGTATTTTGCAGCTACTGAAGAAGACCCGAAGTGGGTCGAAACGTTTAGAATTTAATAAATGAGATTGACTTGAGATCTCATTTTAATTTATTAATTTTGTGCATGTCATCCGCATAGGCTCCGATTGCCGTCGAGATTTTATTTTTATTGTAACACAATAATTCGAGCCGAGATTAATAGTTTTTTTATATAAAAGTTTTATATTTTTTATAAAATTAATTTTACAACATAAAAGTTTTATATTTTTTATAAATTAATTTTACAACATAAAAGTTTTATATTTTTTCTAAAATTAATTTTACAACATAAAAGTTTTATATTTTTTATAAAATTAATTTTACAACATAAAAGTTTTATATTTTTTATAAATTAATTTTACAACATAAAAGTTTTATTTTTTTATAAAACACTTTAACACATGACGCGTAAACTTGGCGCCCTTTTTTTACCTTTTTTTAAAAAAGGTATTTTTTTATGGATATCATTCCTTTTTGTAGTACATACTATATATTTTTTATAATTTAAAATAAGAAAGCAAAGAATCCGCCATCATCCTCGTCATTATTTCATATGCTATATATATTATTTATTAGCCATCTTTTGTAAAAATATTATATAAATATTTTTAGCACCTCTAGGCCACTGTTTTTTTTTAATTAGCGCATCATCAACTTCGACCCAAATGTTAGATACTCCTTCTCTACACATACTTATATAATGACCTTTATCAATACACGAATCATGATAAAATATAGCACTCATCGTCTTATATAACTGTCCAGCTATTAATACTTTATTTGTTGGAACAGCACATAGATTTAATTTTTGTGTTGCTTTCATTAATTTAGCATTTTGTGAAAATACTGTTAAATGAATTACAACTATCTCTTTTGCCAATGATATTTCATTTTTAAATATTATATCATTTCCAGTACAACGTTCACATGATTCATTGTGTGATTCTTTCCAGTGTGAAGTCGTAACATTTAATAAATCATTTAGATTATAACTTTTCTTTTTCAAATTATTAATAGGAATTGAAATAGCAATATTCTTTTCAACAGTAATTTTAGTATTATCACAAATTTTGCATCGTTTAGTAGAAGTAACTTGATGTTCTATTAAATTTCTTATACAATCATATTTTTCGCAAAGAGTCGTAAGAAAATGGAATGCATTTCGTTTTGCGGTGTTCGAAAAATATTCTCCTAAACATTGTCGTACTGTAAATGTATTTAAATTAGACATTCCATATTCATATCGATGCATTAATATACGTAAAACATCTGATTTATCGCAATTAAATAATTGTTGCCTAATGACATTTAAATGTAATAAACATTGTAATACTGCATTTGCATAGCATGAAACTTTGTCTGTATTTTGGAAACCACGTATGATCCAAGCAATATTTCGTCGAACTGTTTGATCTGAACTTGATTTTTGAACAGAAGTAATTATTTTTGGTAACGCCCATAAAACATCTTTTACTTTACGATAGCGTTCTTTTGTCATAGTAATCATTTCTGCATTTTGATTGTGTATCTGTTTTAAACGATTATATTCAATAATAGCTTTTTCGCTAGCTATTACTGATGAAGGATCGTAATTAATTAAATGTAATCCTTCTAGAGATGTTACTCGTGATAATGCAACATAAATTTGACCACAACTAAATACAGAGTTACCGATGTCCATAATTGCACTTCGCAAACTCAATCCTTGACTTTTATGAATAGTGATACCATAACTCAAAGATAATGGAAATTGTTTTCTAATAACATACACTCTATCTACCACTTCAAATTTAACACTTACTCTTTCAATTTCATATTCTGAACCTGATGGTAAAAGAAGTTTAATCTTTTCTACGTAATCAGTAGATGTATCTTGTACAATTAAAATTACTTTAGCAATTGTACCGTTTACAAGACCTAAACTAGCATCGATATTATGTCGAATCATAACTTTTGCTCCAATTTTAATTTTAATTTGTTTTAAAAGTCCAGCTGTTTTTGAATTATCATCATCGTTATTTGACAATACTTTTAATGCTTTCTTTTTTAAATATGGAACACAATTAATCGTGTCTTCAGCAATTAATAATATTTCTTTTGAAACAATACGACTTAACATTGCATTATTAAGAATATCACACATATTACAAGTAGGCAATAAACAAACAGTGTCTGATGTTAAATTATTATTAATAAAATCACATAACTCATTTAATCTAGATTTGAAAGATTCACCTTTAAAAGATATTTTTCTACTTTCTAAAATTTTACAATCTGATTTTGTTACTAATCCAATACGAATTCGCGACAATAACTCACGGTAAGAATTATCGCCTTGTTGACGCATATTAATTGTCAATTCTTCGTAGTTAAATAATGTAGTCCATAAATTAATAGCATTTAAGGAACCAAGATGTTTGGCAATTTTTTCATTTGATAAATGCATAAAGATAGGCTCTTCGTGTACGGGAGGTAATTGAAGTAAGTCTCCGAATAAAAGAATATGCTTTCGACCAAACCAACCATCATCGTAATCACTAGTGTCAAATATTTCAGATAATCGAAGATGTATATACATTAAAGTCAAATTAGATATCATTGACACTTCATCGATTACAAAAAGAATAACATCTTTAAGATTTGCTCGTAAAAGTTTTAATACATGATCAGATAGTTGTTTATATTTAGGGGTATGACCATGTTCAACTGGTAATTGAAGCAATCTATGAATTGTCAATCCATCTACATTAAATGCTGCAATACCAGTAGGTGCTGCTACAGCAGTATCTTTGTTGAGATTTTGTTTTATCCAACATTTAATAGTCTTGATTAAGAAACTTTTTCCAGTACCACCTTCTCCGGTAACATATAATCGTAATACCGATTTATCAGATTCTATAGTATTAATAATTTTATTGAATACTCGTTTTTGATCCATATTTAATTTTTCTATCATTTCAGATACATCAATTTCTCTAATTTCTTTATCACCAAGCTCTTTAAAATCTTGCATTGCTTCACCAGCCTTTATATTTTGAACACCAATTGGATTTTCAGGATCATCCTGAGACTGTTGTTTTTCTAAATTGTCATCTAGATATTGTTGAACTAACTGTTTTGCAGTTTCAAATGCTTTTTGCAATTCTTCTAATCTTTCATGATATTGCAATGCTTCTACAAGATGCAGTTTTATTTTATGAAATGATTCAGCATAAGTATTGCATTCATTTCTAAGATCTTCTAATTTTCGCCATGGTTTAAACATCAGCAATAATGCAAAGAAATAATTTTCCGGATGTGTATTAATATCATTTCTATAATGATTTATAAGATATCTACGTTGTCGCCGTTTAAGATAATAACCATTACTCATTTTATAATATTCAATATCTTCATTTTTCGGTTTGATTTTCGAAATATCGTACCACTGTGCAAATTCATAAAGAGACATATTTTCTAATTTATTTGGTCTATGTGGATAATGATTATCTATCATAGATGGATAAAATATATCTGTAGATTCAGCATCAAGAGCTTCAATTTCTTTGGAGCTTTTTAATTTTCTATATCGTATTTGATTAACATCTAACCATTTGATAGTTGTATTTCGATCAGTTCCATATAAAGAAATACCTAGCAATGTATCAGCAGCTTTAAGAGCTCCACATTCTCTATTATTTGTAAATCGCAAAGCAATATTCCAAAGATAACTCGCTAATGATTTATTTTCATTCTTACTAAGGATAGTATCAGACAGTTCACTTTTTCCCGCTTTATTAATATATTTAGTAATGTACCAGGTAAGCAGCGATGATTTTTCACCAATAAATTGTATATCCATATTACCTTCCCATGCAGTAAGAATAACAGGATTATAATCATTTATATTAACTTCATTATCCATTCAAGGAAGATCATAAAGTCTACTTTTATGTTTTAATTGTTTTCTACCGGCTATCGAAGTTGCCACATCTCTCATATTTAAAGTTTCAGTAACGGGTCGAGGAAATCCAAAACGACACCGACGAATAACTTTACGTCCTACTTTTTTAGAACAAAGACAATAATTGTTATGTATATGTTGCTGATGCGTTTTAACACGTCTGTACAATAATGGCGAAATATTTGCATCTGGCATTTTGCAACTTATATATTGTAAGATAAATTTGGAGACTTCTTCAATAGTAGATTCACCGAAATAGGTGCATTTTTAATCCAAATTAATATGTGAAAATGTTGTATTCCTCTACCTTGATATTCTTGTCGCCAGAAATAGTGCGTTACTTCTCCAATTGGATGATCTTTAGAGTTAATAAAGTCAAGCATTGCTCTAAATTTATTATCGAGAAACCTAGATGTTGATACAGGATCTTTAGCAACAAGTACGTTAACACATAAGGAAGTATCATGCCATCCATTTACTTCACGAATATATTCACCTAAATCTTCCCATAACCATTCACTCGGACTTAGTGTTATAAACCATGTCGCAGGCCCATAATGCTGCGTCATACAATTTAAATCACTTCTTGGTTTACGCCAATATTGCTCCGTATTTCGAAGTATCGAAAATATTGTACTCAAATTAGATTCCAACAATTCTTTCGACATTGCATCTAAATATTCTGCAGCTGTATAACGAACTCGCGGATTAGTTACATTCATTTTATGAAAAATTCCACGACTTAATTGACGCATATTTGCATCGTTTAACAAATAAAATAAATATTGTTGATTTAATCTATATTGTGGATGTTTAGATGTCAAACGACATTTAATAAATTCATGATTATGTAGTTTGACTGGCCTAATCTCATGTTGTCCATTAATACCAAAAGGGTATACATCTGGAAAACACATTAAATCTAAACATTTTTCACGATTATCTAAAGGCAGATCTTTAATTTTTAAATTTAATAAGGAAAACAATTAGATATTTAAAGACAAGGCTCGTGTAATATTATAAAATTAAGATTTAGAAAGACAGGGCCAACTATAACGAGCATATTAAATTAGTGAGAGATGTAATGTCAACACATAATTGATTTATTTCTTAGTAGATACAATGATAATAAAAATAATAAAACGTTTCGGCTGTTACCTCAGCCTTCTTCAGTAAATATAAAAACAATAAAAATTCTTTTAAGAAAAATTATGACATATTACGCATTAGAGTCTATTTTTTAATGAACATTTTGGTTTAATAAGTCGATGAATTTAAATTAGGTTACGCTTATAACATTTATTAAATTAGATATTTTTTCAAATCGGTTAACCATTTTTTAGTTAAGATGGTAAACTTTTTGATTATGTCAAAAAACATGTAAACGAGTTCCCTGTTGTTAGTAGAACAGGTTGACGGTCCATTCCACGTCATCAATGCTTTTGAACATTATTAGTTAAAATTATCGTCAGAACCGCTTGATATGAGAATTGAAAACAATTAGATGTTATCCAGCATCAAAAAGTTAGTCCCCATCATCAAGGATATTTCCGAGTAAGTTCGTCATTGCAGTATATTTCACCGTGATTGTCTAAGTATATTTTTATTTTTTCGGTATATTAATTTATATTAATAAGTTATTTTTTATGTGAAAGATCTTAATTGTGATTAGAATTGCTTACTTAAATTGATGAGTAGTCAAGATTCCGCCAAGTTGATGTGTTCACTATACAAAGTCACAGTATGATGTGTCGAGTTCAAACTGTGACTCCTATTATTATTATTATTTATTTATTAGATAATTCTTCTAGAATGTCAAAATATGACTCGTCAAGCATATCGGTATCTTTTTTTAGGTTTAGACCGTTTTTTTGTTTCTTTATATGGATCATTTCAGAAACATTTCTCTTCTGGAAATTAGATTCGGAATCTAAAATTTTTATGTCTTCCCAATTAAATGAGTGTTGGTAATTAAGAATATGTTCCGAGATGACCGAATGCTTTGACGAATCTAACTTTATATTATTTACATGTTCTTTAACTCTCGTTTTAAGTTGTCTTTTGGTTTGGCCAACATATGTCGCATCGCAATCGTGACATGAGATCTTATAAACAACATTGGAATTAGTTGAAAATTGATTTTTATCTTTATGAACCTTGATAAAACGATTGAGTTTATCAAGACAACGATAACCTATAGTCATTTCTGTTTTTTTGATAGATGATGCGATTTTGTCAGAAATGCTATTCACATAAGGAATAACAAAGAAATTCTTTTTTTCATTATCTCCATCTATTTTAGGAACCTTAGTAATATTATTATCATTAGTCAAGATATTTAGTTTGGAATTAATAAGATACTTAATTCTTTGATTAATAGCGGAGAAAATAAATTCTAAAGGATAACCGTTGTTACGTAAAATAGTTGATTGAATTTATATTCTTATTATGGAATTCTGGATGTGAAAGAAGAAGAGCTCTATCTACTAAGTTATAAATAATGCCTTTTTTTTGGCAGAAAGGATGGTTAGAGTAATAGGAAAGAGTTCTTCCAGAAAATGTTTTTTTCTGAAACCAATCAACAAAAATGGTATTGTTAATTAATTTCAATGATACATCTAAGAAATTTAAACAACGGTTATCCTCATATTCCAATGTGAATTTGAGTCTGTCATGGTATTTGTTAAAAGAATCCACAATCAAATCAACCTTCTCCTCAGGAACTGTCATAATGATATCATCAACGTATCTATAATAAAATGGGATGTCGATATTAATCAAGTCAAGAACAGAATTTTCCAAATCTTCCATTATTAAGTCAGCTATTATGGGCGATAATGGTGATCCCATGGGGGTGCCGAAAATTTGTTTATAAATTATTTATACTGTTGTTAAAAAAGATCCGACTAGGAACCTAATTAATCAATTACACGGGATTTTAAATAGATGGAAAATGAAGAATTACATTTCTTCAACAACATATAAATCCCTGAACTGCACGGACGGGGTTTTACCGAGAGCGTATGGTCTGCCGAAGGTGCATAAACCGAATTGCCCTTTACGTGTCATCGTGTCATCTAGGAATACACCTCTTTACTACTTGGCAAAATTTTTACATAAGATAATATATAAGGCAATTCCGAAACCTGATTCGGCTATTTCTGATAGTTTCCAATTAGTGAACAAATTAAATGGTTTATGTGTGGATAGTGATGTAAAGTTAGTTTCACTAGATGTTGCATTATTGTTCACCAACGTACCATTGGATATGGCTATCGATAGTTTAATTAACAGATGGGGGTATATTGAAAAAGAGTGTATTATTCCACGGGATGAATTTTTATTGGCAATTCGTTTTATTATGAATTCGACTTATTTTATGTTTAATAATGTATGTTATCAACAGACCTTTGGCACGCCTATGGGTTCCCCCCTCTCACCGATCATTGCGGATATCACGTTGCAAGATTTGGAGAATAGAGCGATTGCTGCGATTCCAATGTCATTTCCATTTTATTTTAGATATGTTGACGATATCGCGTTGGCGGCCCCTCCCTCCATGCTTAAAATTGTTTTAAACACTTTCAATTCTTTCCATCCTAGATTGCAGTTCACCATGGAGGAGGGGGTTGACAACCGATTGAATTTTTTAGACGTCACTATTATTATAAATAATGGGAGCATTGAGTTTGATTTATTTCATAAGCCGACGTATTCAGGTAGATATTTAAATTTTGAGTCGCAGCATCCTCTCTGCCATAAAAAGGGCACCATTATCAGCCTCATAGATAGAGTTTTTTGGCTATCTCATCCGAAATTCCATAAAGATAATTTTGAGTCTATGATTGGAGTTCTTTTGTCTAATAATTATCCTCTCAAATTGATATTTCAAACATTACAAGCGCGGTTAAAAAAGTTGTTCTTCCGGTACAATAATAAGTTGCATAACAATAGAACAAATATATGCAATGACAAGATTCCAACGCAGAAAAAAGTTTCGTACTTTAATATTCCGTATATTAATAATGTATCAAAGAGAATCGAGGACATTACACGTGATTTGGATGTCATTCCATCCTATACAGCAATTAACAGTCTCCGTAAATTCATCAAAGTACACAAGGATAAGTTGCCAAGGGAACTCCATAACAATGTAGTTTATAAAATTGATTGTATGGATTGTGATGCGTCGTATGTAGGGCAGACGGGTAGATTGTTGAAAACTAGGATGAAAGAACATCGCAGCAACATAAAAAGAAACGCGTCACAATTATCAGTCATATCGGAACATAGATTATTGAACCATGAATTTAATTGGGAGGATGTAAAAGTCTTGGACGAGGAGCCTTTTTTGGGTAAACGTTTGATATCCGAAATGATCCACATAAAGCGTCAGAAGAATAGTTTAAATTTACATAGCGACACCGACAAATTAAACGAGAATTTTGATCTGTTAATTGAAAAATTTACCAAAATCTAGCTTTGTGATTATACATATCCGGATTTTTTCGTTAGACCTTTGACATGAGTGCCGATAAGTATTAGTTGTTTTTATTTTATTTTCATATTTTATTTTTATATTTGTTTTTTTTGCGTATATATGTATCGACTGTGTCGAGGTAGAATACCGCACAGTCGTTAGAGTGATGTGTCACGTGTAGCATCGTCTTCTCTCTGTTTTTGCTGTCGGGGTGAGTGTTCTTCCCGGTTTTTAATTTATAATTCTTGGGGATCTTACACGTTTAATTTATACTATGTTGATTAGTGTTGGTAAGGGAGTTACTGCTCTGCTTCCTTCCTGACGATGGTCACCGTTAGGGAGACACTCCGACGGCCGGACGGTTCGAATAGGGAGGAGAATGATATTTAATTTATTTGCGGATTGTATGTATACGAGTTTTATAATTTTCTGATTGTACCGATTATCTTTTATTTTTTTTTGTTTCTTTGTATTTTGCAGCTACTGAAGAAGACCCGAAGTGGGTCGAAACGTTTAGAATTTAATAAATGAGTTTGACTTGAGATCTCATTTTAATTTATTAATTTTGTGCATGTCATCCGCACAGGCTCCGATTGCCGTCGAGATTTTATTTTTATTGTAACACAATAATTTGAGCCGAGATTAACAGTTTTTTTATATTTATAAATTATATTGTTAAATCTCTCACTAATTTAATATGCTCGTTATAGTTGGCCCTGTCTTTCTAAATCTTAATTTTATAATATCACACGAGCCTTGTCTTTAAATATCTAATTGTTTTCCTTATTAAATTTAAATAACGCAGGCCTTATAATGCGTAATAATCTCAGTAACATTAATTATCGTAAATTATACTATGATTTTGGATTTATCAAGAAACACTATGGTGAATACACATTTTACAACCTTAAAAAATGGATTAACGCTAATTACAAACTCCTTGAAGCAAGATCTAAATTGTATTTTCTAAAGTCTTGCATGAACCATGAGATCTTACCGTCGCATTTAACCAACATTGGAAAAACACAATTTAACATTCACAATTATAAACTAATAAATAAATTGACAAGAATACAGCACAAATTCAAAACAGAAATTTTAAAAATAGAAATTTATGATTTGTACAGAGTTGTTGACACTTTACAAAGAGAAATATTACAATTTTTACATAAGTTATCCATTTCTATC